CATCCATCCATTTATTCATCCATCCATCCATTTATTCATCCATCCATCCATCCATCCATCCAATCCATCCATCCAGTTCCAGGTCTTGGGGTCAGCAGCTGGATCAGGGAGGTCCAGACCTCTCTTTGGTCTTCCAGCTCTTCTGGGAGGACTCCAAGGTGTCCTCAGACCTGCTGAGAGACATAGTCTGTCCAGCATGTCCTGGGTCTTCCTCTGGGTCTCCTCCCAGTTGGACATGTCCAGAACTCCTCCTGACCCACCTCAGCTGGTTCCTCTGGATGTGGAGGYTCAGGTCTACTGAGTCTCTCCTGGAGAACTGYGCTTCAGTCTGTCTCTAAGAGTCCAGCTGCCCTGCAGAGACAACTCATCTGGACCACATGCATCTGAGTTCTGGTTCTTTGGATTACTCAGAGTTCCTGACCATAGGTGAGGGTAGGAACAGACCGGACCAGCACAGAGTCCACAGTCCTGCAGGACCTGACCCGGTTCTTTAGAGAACCTCAGTCCACCAGAAGCAGGAGGTCMAAATGAACATCTTCCTGGAAATGATTGTAAAATCAGTTCAAGTAAAGGAAGTCAGAGCTTRATTTATTTARTTGACCCAGAATCATTTGAGTCCAGCTGAGGCCAGCAATCACAACAGGTTTAATTCAAACCGGTCCTCTGAGTGGGTTCTGCTGAGCGGACCCTCAGCCAATCAGCTGTCAGCTTGACATGGTTTATAAATTTGTCTTAACGATGATGAAGACAAACGGAGCTGCAGGAGAAATAACTCTGATAAAACTCATTTCCTTCAGTTTTCATCTGCTCGTCAGGAAGGTTCTGTTCTGTTCGGGTCTGGATCAGCACCCGGACCCTCATGTGGTGAACTCATGTTTTTGGCTCAAATCTGTTTTTTCCAACCAAAAGTCTAAACTCTGCGATCTGTCATGAGGTCCTCCTCCTCCTCCTCCTCATTCAGAACCAGAACCAGAACCAGCTCAGTCTGAAGCGTCCTGAGCAGCTGGGATCAACAAACACTAAAAGTTTGATGCTGCGGGTCCTAACGAGGTTTACGCTAACGAGGTTTACGCTAACGAGGTTTACGCTAACGAGGTTTACGCTAACAAGGTTTACATTAACGAGGTTTACATTAATGAGGTTTACGTTAACGAGGTTTTCACTAACGATGGTTTAAACTAACGATGGTTTAAACTAACAAGGTTTAAACCATCGTTAGTTTCAACTAACAAGGTTTAAACTAACGATTGTTTAAACTAGCGATGGTTTAAACTAACAAGGTTTATGTTAACGAGGTTTACACTAACGATGAATTAAACTAACAAGGTTTACACTAACGAGGTTTACGCTAACGATGGTTTAAACTAACGAGGTTTACATTAACGTAGTTTACGCTAACGATGGTTTAAACAAACGAAGTTTACGCTAACGATGGTTTAAACAAACAAGGTTTACGCTAACATGGTTTACGCTAACGATGGTTTAAACTTACGAGGTATACGCTAACGATGGTTTGAACTAACGAGGTATATGCTAACGTGGTTTACACTAACGATGTTTTAAACTAACGTGGTTTACACTAACGATGGTTTAAACTAACGAGGTTTATGCTAACATGGTTTAGGCTAACGAAGGTTTAAGCTAACGAGGTATCCGCTAATGATGGTTTAAACTAAAGAGGTATCCGCTAACGATGGTTTAAACTAACGAGGTTTACGCCAACGATGGTTTAAACTAATGAGGTTTACGCCAACGATGGTTTAAACTAATGAGGTTTACGCCAACTATGGTTTAAACTAATGAGGTTTACGCCAACGATGGTTTAAACTAATGAGGTTTACGCCAACGATGGTTTAAACTAATGAGGTTTACACCAACGATGGTTTAAACTAAAGAGGTTTACGCCAACGATGGTTTAAACTAAAGAGGTATCCGCTAACGATGGTTTAAACTAAAGAGGTATCCGCTAACGATGGTTTAAACTAAAGAGGTATCCGCTAACGATGGTTTAAACTAACGTGGTTTAGGCTAACGATGGTTTAAACTAACGTGGTTTACGCTAACGATGGTTTAAACTAAAGAGGTATCCACTAACGATGGTTTAAACTAACGTGGTTTACGCTAACGATGGTTTAAACTAAAGAGGTATCCACTAACGATGGTTTAAACTAACGTGGTTTACGCTAACGATG